GATGTCAGGCGCAGCACTTGGCCCGCTGTTAGCTGGACTTCTGTCTGCAGGCGGCTGGGATCAGGTCTTCTACATGCTGATGACTGCTGACTTTCTTGCTCTGTTGGTAAGGCCTTTAACTTGCATCATATAAGATTACAAAATGACAAAACGAAAGCAAAAAATTGGCACCTATGTGCACATTAGCACAGAATACTGGCCTCTTTGAACACACTGATAGTTTTCCAGCTCTTTGGTTCAGTCACTGCTGCTGTAAAGGTTTTTTGTAACAACAAGCAGTTGTTTTCAGAAAATCCATCAGTCACTACCTGCTCAGGAGCAAAGAGCAGACAGATGCAGAGACCAGCTGGTGAACCAGTGAAAAGTCAGATATTTAGCTCAGGAGCTAGAGATGAGAAAAATAAGACAATGTTGTGTTTTTACCCTTGTTTCTGATGCCCAATAAAATGCTCACAGATGAGCAAACAGATGCTCATACTAATGTGTAACCTTGCAGCTTTTGCTACGGCTCGTGACAAAGGAGCTGGCCTCATCTAAATCCCATCCTATCTCCACTGTAGAGTAAGTCCTCCTGTTATCTCGATCATGATTATACTCAGCCTGACTGCTGCTTTTGGTGCTGTACTGTAATTCTTGTGTATCTGCATTAATTTGATGTTCAAATGTTGGGCTGCTGTTTTTTTTTTGTTTTGTTTTTTTATAACAAAACAGTTATAATACACTGAGAAGTACTTCAATGTTTATATTATCAAAAGAAATGCAGAACTTTCAAACATGCAGATAATAAAATTGAATTCTACTCATATGGATTAAATACAACATGATGAGTGTGAACACTGGCTTTGCCCCCCAAAATAAATAGGCTTAATCACTATGATCTATAGCCCTGGTGGTGGCAGCCTTTTAATAAAAACGCTCAGGAAATTATTGCATATATCAGGAGAAGTTTAAACAGACATTCTGTGGAGCATTAAGGACAGAGTCAGTAGTGTTAAATGACACATGTGAGTTATGGCCTTTGGAGGAAATGATATTTGCAAAATATTTCTTTTTTGGCTTTTTGATAGCGTTGCAATAATGACGCCGGCAGTCTTTTAAAATGTAAAACGACACCTGTAGTTTAATCTTTCCTATCTGTGTTGTGCTCTGCGACATTTCCTCCTGACAGCATGAGTCATTAAACCAAGGCTCAGGTTTAGCTTTAGGCTGTCTGGTTTTTAAATGGGGCCGCAGGGTCCACGATGGTTTGACAGCAAGAATAAAACCAGGAACTAAACTCCTTTCAGTCAGAATGGCCACAGAGCTGATTGAAAGCAGCAGAAAACAAAAAAGGGAGATAATAACCTGAAGGCCGAACAGGAGCATGTCTTCAGTTAGACATGCCGAATATACAGTTGTGGCCAAAAGTTTTGAGAATGACGCAGCTGTTGGGTTTCACAAAGTTTGCTGGGATGAGATTGAGTTCAGTCTAATAACAGATAAAATGATGCGTTTCAGCTGTCGTTGTCATTATCTACATGCATGTTAGAGTCACCCACAATAATCATTTTAAAATTATTTGAAACTCTGAGTAAGAACCAGGTGGACGATGGATTACAGCAAATAAAACTGTTTTTTTGAATTTTCTGGCTAAGATGCAAGCTAAGTGTCAGGCTTTCAAAAGATTTAAAACTAACCAACCAACCAAACCAACCAAACACACAGAGTGTTTGGTTGGTTTGGGCTGGCTGTAGTTCAGAAGGTTTACACAAGAACTGCACATCTGAAATAACTCAGACATAATTTAAAATTATGTTGCTGATGTCTCTGTGCCAAATTCTTCTATGGTCTTGTAAGTTTATGGAAGACCAGCACCAGACATGTTACACATTAAAGATCTTATTCACTTTATTTTTCTTATTTTTTGTATGTGAGTTTGGTTGAGCTTATACTTGAGTTTCTTAAAAAACAGTCCAAACTTGGTTCATGACTCGAATATTCTTGTCCTTGTACGACTACAGTCAGTGATCGACTATGTGTTCTCGGGGACTGAATGTGAACATAACATGTGTTCACATGTGATTTATTTCCTAAAAACAAACCAACTGTAATGTTCTCTCATGGGCAGGAAGTTCACTGGTGTTGACTGTAAAGCTTAATGACTCAACTTATCAACACAGCGTTAATGTTTGTCTCTTGTTCACAGGTTGAAGGAACACTGAGCACTTTGATTGCACTGCGTACACACATACACGCAGAGTGCAATGAAACCACTTAAGGCTGATATGGATTGTGACTGGACTGTCCTGACAGATGAAACTGATTGTTAATAAACCAGCGTATATGCTTGTGTGCGCCTACAATCATGCTGCAGTGCTTTACTGATGAAGACCTATGACTGAAGTTGCAGCTGCTGCGCTGAGCAAGCAGCGCGGCACACAGTTTAAAAGTCTCATGTGCACTTACTGTACTTGCATAACTTCCCAATGTCCCTCTTAGCCCTTGAATTCAGTTTGAACTTGATGACTGGTATGTCTTGCTGCTCACTTGTATGTTGGAACTTTTTCAACCTTACCTGTCCAATTAATTTAAGGGGCTATTTGTAATTTTGTGCCTTTTACAGTGGTACCTAGCTTTGATAGTTGTTTTTTAAAGCTATCAATCACAGAATTAAGAGCTTCATCAAAGCTGGGGTCGTTGCCAGGACTAAAATAACGTCAGACCTGCTACAAAAACAGCAAACATGCATACTTTACTTCCTGTGTAGTTCTGTAGCAAATAGAAAGAAAACACAGAAAACATACATGATAGAGTCTCAGGTAACACTGTACTCGCCCAGGACTTCATGATAAATAGCACTTTAACGATTGTAGTTCTGCCAATTAGAACCACTAAAACTGGAAACACCACAGGTTGCTAGGTCTTTGTGTCCTTACTGTCTTTTTTGTATGAATAGTGTTTTATATTGTTGGTGTTTGTATTGGCAAAATTTTCATACAGTTCATTTATTTGGTGCCATGTGAGCTGTCTGTCACAGTTTGAGGCTTATGAGGAGGACTCTATGCCCATACTGATATTTTTATTTTTATTGTTGTACTGGGATAAATTCATATACCTCTACCCAAAACCTGGACAGAACCACTTCTTAATATCGTGCCTAGAGCTGTTAACTTTTTTGAAACATGAACTTAATCTGATAGCAGTCATCTGGAAAAAGTGATGCAGAACTAATTCCATCATATCTGTTGAAGAGAAGAAGGAACACAAAGACCAGCTCGTTGAACCAAAGAGATGATGGGATTGGTTTCGTTTACATGTGTATTTATTTTGAAAATCATTTTTGTTTCCTTTTCCATTGTCCTGTGGTAGTTTGTGATTTAGTAATAA